TATATATATATAAATTCTTCAGCTTTAAAAAAATTTTACTAGCAGAAAAGGCCATTTTCATAGACAGATCCTGTTTGTAAACACATCAGAGGGTCTGAGCGCAGAATGAAGCTCAAGATTCTCTTCAAAAAAGTTTGAGGACTATTGTCCTAAACCTTGGGTGAAGTTGATAGTAAAGACATAAGCAACACCAATCGTTATCCAGTCTGGGATAGACAAAAGACGGAGAAAGGCTTCAATAATCTGAATCTGAAAAAGACTAACGTGAAAAAGGGAATTCCTTTGAACTTGACAGACCTGTTTAGGGGAGGTGTAAGAGTATTTTCAAGTACAGTTCTTCAAATTTAAAAAATGTTTTGCCTCTCTGAAACAAATTACAGCCAGGGATATGTTTTCAAAATGGCCTGAGGACAGGGCACTTCTGTGCAGTGTTAGCGTACGAGTGTGGTAGACTGTGGTGCTGTGAGGTGGTTTTGGCGCTGCGTGGGCTGGCCTGGCTCTTAGGTTATTTTGGTAGTGGTGAGTGATAGGGATACACTGCCCGGTGGGTGGGCTTAGTGTCTCTGGCCTTAACCATCTGAAGTAACACCCCATTGAATTCCATGTAGGTATTGGACGGCAGGTGCCACAAAAGCCTCCCAGAGGCACTGCTCGGGGACCCCCTCATTTAGTGCTACCCCCACCCCCACCCTACCCTCCTCCTGACACAGATGTGGCAGAGCCTCTCAGCTTTCCTGATGAAGGCGCTGGTGCCGAGGCCTCCGACATGAGACCCACACGTATGTGCCTCTTGTTTTCTTCCCCACTAAGTATTGGCCTCCCATTCTCCCCTCATGGTGTCAGGCTGGGTTTCCAGACTTTCCATTCTTTCCTTGGATGTGTGCCCCTCTCCTCTCCAGCTTTTCCATCTAAATGCTTGATGTAGTATGTCTCATTTCACAGTGAATGCATTCCAAATACTATGCAAAGAATGATTTAATTATTAACCACTATTAACCATTAAAGTTGTGGTTAGCCTCAACCACAATTGTACCTTGTGAGTAAAAATAGTTAGCTGGAAGCTGATGTTCCTCAAATTAGAGCTGACCTCACTGCATCTGCAGACAGTAATAGCAGTACAGTCTAGCATGACAATGATATGGTTTGGTTGATAAGCTCAACCAGGAAAGCTGCAAAGGCAAAGAAGTTGTGTTCAAGGGTGGTGAGTGGGGATTTACAAACTAGAACCTCTGAATGGTGTGACTGACAACTAAACATTAAGACTGCTATCTGAGGAAAAGAAAACTTAAGCACCAGATGGAGAAAGAGCTTAACATGAGTCTATCAGTATTCCCAATTAAAGGCTCATTTTGTTTCTATTTTGTCACACCCTGTCTGCGATCAAGCTGTCTTCATTGTTTCCTGAAGTTTCTTCTAGACTTTAATAAGTACTAGGTAGAGCAGCCCTTCCTTATGATGGGTGCTAGTTTCCCACATTTGTCCAGTATACTCCGATGATGTCAGCCACACATCAGCCTGTGCTCTCTAGCAGCCTTACCCGTGCCCTGTGGCAGCAATGCTTCAGTAGAAGGCAGGCAGTCCTGGAGCCAGTGCTCTGACAGCGTCACTGTGTGCAACTGATGAGCAGTGGTGCCCGTGTGAGCATGTGCAACCATCTGCTGACAACAGTCAGACTTTCCTCCACTGAACATGTGTTCTTTTTCTGTCTTGTAAATGACCACTGGCTTGCCATTGACTCCTAGACAAAGGAGATAATTGTTGCGTCACTTATGTACTCTCTAGTAAAATAATCATGATGTGTTTTCTCATTCTTCACAAGTTCTTGTATCTTTAAAATGTTTTGATCCTCTTGACATTGCACATACTTCCAAATGCAAATCATTTTATAGGGTATTCAAAAATTAAGGGTTTATATATATGTATCTATGTATGTATATATAAACAGTCAGAAAGAAGCTGTGACTTAGAAAACTGGGAGCATTTTCATCTCTGATGAGAGTGGGTTTAAGTGCTACCCCTGAAGGCTGTGAGCTTTCAATCACTTCTCCTGCTGTTACCCACCAATTTTCTTCTCAGAGGGACCAGCAAGAAAAGAACAACTGAGTGAAAGTGGGAAAGCTGAGAAACAAGCTGGGGACAATTAAGAAATGGTCACAAGACCAGGGGCTTTGAAAGGCTTCACAGGCTGGGAGAGCCTGGCCTCATACACCACCACCCTGACCTCAAGCAAATCCATAGGTTCATCCCCTCCATGGTCTCTACAGGTTGGGAGTCACAGGCAGGGTATGGTGTCTGCTGGAGAGAACGGCACACAAGATTTGAGACCATTGCTTACAAAGGTCTACCTCAGATTCCCCCCAGGTTTCTTCCATGCTTCTCACTCCTTCCCTCAGGATATTCAAAAAGAGGTTAGGGGAAAGAATGGAACCAGTCAACAGGAAAAATAAAATGTCCTCTTGCCACCTGGTACCATCTCCCCTCCTGCCCCATGCCAATTCTCCCCATACATCCACCTCCCTTTCTCTTAGTGAGAAACTACACCAGAAGAAGTTATAATATTGGCCAAGGTCTTACCCCCAAATTGGTAAAACAAAAAAATAGCATTGTGGTATTACTGGTCCCATTCATCACTCTATCCATTACCGTAGACTTTTCTTCCATCACATTGATCATCCCTATGAGGTTTCTGTAGTTTTCGCATTCTTTGTATTTTGTACAACAGATAGTATTTCCCTTAGGTTGTTAAAAAGAGAAATACATATTTTTTTGAAAACCGGTAAGCACAGTCAACACTCCTCAGGTAAAAAATTAAATAATACATAGATAATGGATTTGTATGCAGTTGTGATTTGGTGATAAGAAGACATGCAGTAAGTCCTCTATAGTACATACGTTCTACCTGTCCTCTTGTCCTTGCCCTTGACCTCCTGTCTGAGGATCTCATGAGGCCTCAGTCCCTCTGGCTTTGCCTTAGTGCTGCCAACTTTCCCTTCTACTGTCAGTGCTCTACCCAGGCCCTGAATTCACAATCTGGGGACTAAACCCTCTATTTCCGTTTTCCTGCGCAAAGTCTTGACACATGGTTGTTATAACCACATTTACCTGGAATAGGCAAAACAGAGAAGGCCATTTATCTGGGGCTTCTGACTGCTTTTTGAACTGGGGACAATTTTTGAACAGAAGAGGTAAAAGGCACCCACTGATGTCTGCAGTGGGCTCCCAGAGGCTACCTTTGTGCAGCTCTTCTTCAGGCACCCTGACTGGAGCCCACTCTGGATGTGGCCCCCCTGCCTTTTCTGGGGGTGATCAGCAGGGTGTCTTCTTGTATCAAGATCTCATTTTGATGTTTGTCCCCCTTCCTGCCTGGATCTCCTATTATCCTGTAGACATTTATTCCTTACTGTGTAAGGAGTGTATGGGAATATCCTATAGACATTTACTCCTTACTGTATAGGAGGCTTTAAGGTCTTACTCATATTTATATCCATTCTACAACTGGGCATTTGACACATAGCATGTATTTAATAAAGAAACCCACCAGAATATGTCTCACAGCTGCTGTAAGTACCAGATAACACTGATGCATGCCCTTCAATTAAGCTCCATTAAATTTAGCTGTTCCAAGCCAAAGCACATCCAACACCAGCACTTTAGGTCAGTCGATAGGACATTCTCAAAGGAATCATTAGCATCATCATATGAAAGCCTGTGATGGTCATACTTGTGCCAACTATGAAGTCTCTGTAGTATCTACATTTCCACTTCCCTCTTCTCAGCCATTCTCTGGTTCTCCTGACTATCAGAGTACCCTCCATGGTGGGTGTGTGGGTGACTCCAAAATAGTTCTCTAATGTGCCTCCTTCCTTTGTCTAAGCCTTTCTCCTGAACAGGGCTGTATTTAGTGACTTACAGCCAATAAATAGAACATAGCAACAGTAATGGTTATCTCTTGTCACTACTGAGTTTATGTTAGAAAGATGTGCTTCCACCTCAGGCTCACTCTCAGTCTCTCTGAGGAAAGTTGGCTGCTGTGCATTCTGCTGTATGGGGCCTCCAACCAAACGGAGGGACTGAGACCCTCAGCCATTTGTTCTGAGAACTGAATCCAGCTTCACATGAGAGATCCTGAAATGGGATCCTTCCCTAAGGGCAGCATTCTGATGGACATCTTGATATAGTCATATGCATCAGAGGCAATCCCCTATGCTTTTTCCAGAATCCAGACCCATAGAAACCATAAGATAAAGACTCTAGGTATGTATTGAGGTAATATGATCTATAACAATAGATAATACAGTTTGCAAGTAGGATGAATTCTTCTCAAACTTACCTAACGAGTGAGGTATTCTCTTACCTCATGGGAACTCAGAACATATTCAGAGTAGGACAGATTCAGTGCTAGTTGAATACAAAACCTACAGTTCTCATCAAAGATGGGTTTTTTTTTTTCAGGCTTTTTTCTCTTTCACCTCATGAGTTCATTTCCCACTTCAGTTGGTAATCAGGGGTCTGAGGCTGTTTGCATGTGTCAACTCCAGACACCAAAAGTTTCTGGCAAGAGAGAGTATCTCCTTTAATAGTTTTACAGGAAAAGGAACCTTTCCCAAAAGCCCTCCAATGCAGAGTTTATCTCATTATGTACAGTTGGGTAACATAGTCACCAGACCCCATCTACAAATTGAATCACCTTAGATTCAGAACCATCCCAACAGCTGAGAGCATTCACTGAGGTACATGGATGTCACAGTGGTCAACAGTAGAGCTCTGTTGAGAACCACCAGTAATGCAGGTTCTATGCAGCCAAGAATACCCACTATGCTTGGGTTGAGACTTCAGTTGAGTGCAGTCTGAAGAATGTAAGACATGCTCTGAGTAGGTACAGAATCCAGTGGTAAAGATCAAGTGCTTGACTCCCAAGACAGGATGGCCAGTCTTCTGAAACTATGAAATCACTAAACCGACATCCTCATGGAATAATTCCAGTGCAGGACTAGACATTTCAGATCTGACCTTCAACCTGCATTTCTCATTTCCTGCTTTTTCAGACTATAGAGACTAATAAAAATGCCCCTGACATTAAAATATTTCTCAGTACTCAGAGACTAACAGGTGTAATTTCTTGATAATGTTAGTAGTTAGGAGAGCAACAGAGTCAGGTTGCTGAGATTGTATGGTTGGCCTATCAATCCTTAGAATGCTGTATGTCATTTAAAATTATTTCCTACTTTATGAAGCATAACTTTTTCTTTTCCAAAGTGAGCTTACAGCTGATAAAAATGAAGTTTTGCAAAGCTAATTTGGAGATAGGGTGAATCTATGTGTGTGCAAAGACAAGAGTAAATGAAAATACTGTCTCTGTAAAACCTGTGCAGACAGGAGGTTCTTCGTACCTGACCCATGCTGTCATTCCCGCTGTCATTCCACTACTAAGACAACCTATAGGGCTTGGGATGATAAATATTATACATGCTTACTCTAGTGGAAGAGAATTATTTAGGCTAGATAACCTTGTAAAACTGCTGACATAAATGTTACTGTGAATGGACTTTTGGCTTTGGTTGGACTTAACCGTGATGAAGGGATTGTGGTTCCCAGATCTGTGTTCTATAATCTTCTGTTTCTTATTAATAAGCTTTTATGTTAAACCTTTAGATAGCTAATCATGCATGTGGGTACCTTAGTGCACATCTAAACCAGTATAATTTTTCATAGGGGTTTTTCCCCCATAACTGCCTCATCAGTTGCTGTCCGCTGACATTTGATTTCTGTTGAGCTTTCA